AAATGCACGTCGTAAATATTGCTAGCATACGCTGTGCCCGTAACACAAATAGTATGGTAGTAATCCTTACATTGTTAGTTCGAGTTCTTGCTTTGTTCAGAGTTTCCTTTCAAGTTTTTCATAGTCCTTGCAGAACCTGATCTTCGCAGATGGAGGATAGCTTTCCAGAATACCTTGCCGATTGGAAATCAGAATTCAGTTTTTTCGATCGATTCGTATGCCTTTTCCTTTGCACCTTCTATTAGAGGTGCTGTGGCTATACGAACCTTGTACCAAATATGCTAGACAGACTTAAACTGGTTTGCAGGTTACGCCAAGCGTACCTTTTGCTTGATATGATATACCCGTATGCTTGCGGTTTCTTCTTTAGGCTTTTTTACCATCAGCTCTAGCATCATGTTATTGGGTCCAGAGCAGTTGTGGTTTTGTAAAATACTTTCTACTACGTTTCAATAATCTGATAGCTGAGTATATCGTTAAACCTTCCTAACACGTGATTTGCGAACGTTTTCTGCACACTCTCGTTTTAAGGGTGTTCATGTTCACTTTATTTTATAGTAAAATAGTGGTCGTTGATCTTGTGTGTCAGTAGGTTTCATAAGGTGGAGTTGGATAGCAGTTGAATTTATCGACTACTGAGCCCCTCGTTTTCTTCTTATTTGACACAAACAACGGAGTTCACTTTTAATAAACTTTTTGTTATTCATGGATATCCCATGTGAAGGTTGCGTTCGATGTGGTTTATATGATGACACCATATTCGCGCGTTCTTGTTTATTTGCTGAGTTTGTGTTTGGTTTGTGTCAGTTGGTCTTTGCCAGATATTCAGTTCCATGTGGCAACGCTGATGTCACTGATGTTCAGTGCACCTTTTTCACGTTTATAACCATTTTTTGTCAGTAAGAGCGCGGCTAATCTTTTCGTTTGAGGTAAGCTTTTTTAGTTGAATTAGTAATTCGCTGTCGATTTCTCTGTTATGGTGTTTCTTGTTGCATGGATGCAATCAAGATTCTTGAATTTCTTTCTTTCAGATAGGGTATAATTGTCAGCATTCACAATTTCGTTGTTTGCTCTCCTCTCTGCCATATATTCCGTTTTGTTCATGCTGAGCTGTGACTCTTTTGGTTGAAACTGCTTTCCGCGTTTCGGCTTTTGTCTCTTTTTTGTAGACATTTCAATTTCGCTTGCACACATCGCGCATAATTATTCAAACATTATTTGGAGAGTGTAGCTATAACTGTCGTGTATGACGAAGTTCTGAAAATATTATTTCTATTATGCCATCTTTAGTGAGTCGTAAATTTGTGACCTCAGCGTATTGCTTGATATTCTTATATTCTTTGATATTCGTATATTCTTTGATATTCGTATATTCTTTGATGTTTGCTGCGCATATGGGTTTACAGTCTTCAGGCAACACTCCTTAATAACTTGTGTGCAGTGTGCTTCACCTTCATCCAGCATCTCTGTTGCATATTTTATTCTAGTAATAGGCTCATCTTATTATAGCACTTAGCATTAGGTGTTATTTGATCGTCATCCCATGCAAGGTACATCTTCCGCATAGTCTTTGAAATGATCCACTTCATCAACTTGCTCTGCTTTAATGAATTAATAATTAATCATTGTTGCCTTGCGATTGAATAAGAAGTGATTACGATTTATTTTCGAAAATTCGTTTATAGGGCTATAGTGTGACGAAAGGTGATGATAATTCGTTTGTTGTTCAGTAATTTTGTTCTGAAGTTGTTCGTTTTGCGGAATTTTTACATTGCGCAATGCATTGCAGTAACCTTTGTGCTTTGAACTTGTTTATTATATAGGTCTGTTAAATTGATGTCCCTTTAAATGAAATTTTTTTCTAAATTGTTGCAGCATCTATATTTGGAAGAATGAGTTTACATTATTGTGATGCATGGCTGCAGTTTGTGAGATACTATGCAGCTGTTTAGTGGCGATTGCAAACACGCTATGTAGATAACTAAGTGACCTGCTTTAAAGCTCAGTTTCCAACAATTTATGAACCTCTTTGGCTGTCGTTTGGAGCCTGAAAACTTCTGATAACCTCAAATGATTACGTTGTGATTGGGCTTAGCGTTAAGATGTAAGATGAATGATGAGTCGTTAAACCATGAGTTCAAGTTTCAGCAGAACTAACTGCCGTGTGTCACCCAAATAACAAAGAGCAGTGCTGTGACGGCTAGTTGTATGTCCAACGTTTCGCACGACATCTCATGGTCGCTAATTGAAGAGTCATCTCGAGCTTTTGGACTGTTGTGTCGATGTCAGTTGTTGAAAGTCGTCATACGCATAGCCTCAGGGATTAGCAAAAAGTCAGTTAAGCAATTCAAGGGTGCTGCCTTTGCGAATGCATTCTTAATGAAGTAGCGGCGGCGAGAAGAGAGCACAAGGCGCTTGGCGAGAGGTTGCTTCACCATGCAAAACGAATAGCGTACTGCCGACGGTCAGCGTATTAAAAATATGAAATAGAATGGCTGTGTTGCAGGGACAAAGATCGACCTTCGAGACGATTCAGAGGTTTTGCGCAATTTAACCGAGCAGGGCCTGAGTCCAACGACGAAAAGCCAAGGCAACAAGTTAGCACAGAAGGTGCATGCGGTGAAGTACATGGAATGCAGTGCGTTGACTCAACAAAACCTCCGTCAGGTTTGTATTGCCTGCTGCTCGCATGTCTTTGCTTAAGTAACTGGCTGTTGCTGCAGGTGTTTGACGAAGCGGTGCGAGCCGTGATAAAGCCGCAGCCACGACAGAGACACAAGTGTCACATAGCCTAGGTACATAACGCATCGACGCCAGCCTGTAGCATACAATTAAATCTCGATCTGTTGTTGATTATTTATTGTGCAGTTCATTTTTATTGCATCCGACATAAAAGGGCTTCACGTGACACCCGTCGTTGTTATTTTTCATTAACCGTGGCAGCAATATTGTTGCGTAGACGCTTTTTACGTACTCTTATTGAAACGTGCTTTATCCCGCAGCTGCCTTACATTTTGCGATGACGCCGCAGCGGCGAAGAACGGTTCTCATCTTGATGTAGTCACTGTCGCATATTGTGGTATACACACCATGGCATTTGTTGTATGCAGTTCAGTTATCTAATAAAACGTCACTTATTTAGTCTAGTTCTGAAATATGCGTCGCATAATTGAACAGCGTTGATTGAATACGGCGCACATCGATTATTGGCACAACGTTGTCTTTAACTTCCTGCATGCGAGTTCTCTCGTGAGGCCAATGAAGTCACTAGGTAAGGAGGTGCCGCGAGTGATGATCTAAATGCCCAACTGGTCCAGTGAATTGCCATGCTTGTAGGTGTGGTATCATTGACTAGCTTATTAATGTGTAAAGTACCTTGCGCTGAAAATACTGCTGTACCACTCTGTATTGAAAAGCACTGCAAACATAGCTGTTGGAGAAGTGTTGTTCTACAGCAGTTCTTTGCGGTTATGGCTCAAGATAACAGGATAAATAACTGAAGATGTTAAGCTTTATTTCCGGCGCTACACATCTATTATCATCATCAGGGTGCAAATGCCGATAAAACAGTAATAATCCGTCACGGTATTACCCTTAACCGGATTCTAACCTATAAGAAATACGTCTGTGAGATGACAAAAATGGATTGCTGGCTAACCGCGCAGAGGCACTATATATCATAATTTGTAGTGCAGAAGCCAGTGTTATACCACTTAATGCATCGTTCTTGCCAGCAAAATATTCGTACCACGTCCCGTTAACTTTTGATAAGTCGAGAAATCGCGGGCGAACCTACAATTATCATTTCGAAGCTATCTCAAGGAAGTACCTAAACTTCGATGGTGGAAATCACGAATGCTGTTGTGCAATGTTAAACCAGACCGGTAGATATCCCCTAACTACAATAACTGACGTACATTGCTGCATACTGCAGTACTTAATTAACATACTCTTTTTCACCACCCATTAGCCCAGTTCATACTTCAGAAGAAAATATGATCGTTCAGTAACCGCAACCGACTGGCCACGACAGGCATGTACGCTGTATGCACAAATGAAGTTCCGTAACTTATCTAAATGCGAATTAGGAGCAGAAAGTCAAGCCGCATCATCTTACCACCGACGGTTGTGTCTACCACCGTATTATTTATAAATTAATCACAGCATAGGGCATGCAAAAATCCTCTGAAACTACTTGAAGTTGCTTTCTGACTAAACTGAAACCATCGTTAACAGTTCATGACTGCCTTACACAAGCTGTTCGGCTGGGCCTCCGTGGGTAAGCCATTACCGCATTAATGAGGGCATGTAGCTCGTAGTTGACGGAAGGCGTACGTAGGAAAGGAAAAGAAAGGAAAGCCTGTAGCCATTAGAATATCGGACTTCCGTATTCTTTCATGATGAGACCATTTCTAGCGTTCTTCATTTCATTACGTTAATATTACCGTGCCGTGAGCAAGAAGTGTTATTTTAAAGGCAGAGTCAGCAACAGTTATGTGAAAAAGACAGTGTGTTGTCTCCTATTTTCCTCCCACAGAGTGGCACTCATTTATTAACCTTGAAAAGAAAAAATGGGCGTGACTGCGACCGGGGCTCGAACCTGGAACTTTTCCGTTCTGAGTTCGATCCTCTACCGACTGAACAATCTCGGTCTGAAGCAATGTGGTAGATTCCTTCATCAAGCGAAATCGTGAATAAGATTAAGATCGCTCTCGAAAGGAATCAAACTATGCATCTTTGGAGTTCGAAGCAGACTTCTTAGGCAATGTGCCACCGCGCGACTGACGGAAGACTAAATTCGATTCCGACAGTCCCGGTGTTTCCGCATGGTGAATGGCATAGCTCAGCTATGTCAGACACTTCCAAGGGTATTGTTTGCAGATAATAGATGACAAGAGGCTGTCATAACAGCGCACATGTGGAATGCACTAGTGGGTACAGTTAGTTGGTACTAACATTTGAAAAGGATATATAAAAGGGCCAGCCAGACGTTAATATCTACTGTGTAGTGCTTTGTAATGGTTGCCGGACTATTCAGACCTTCCATAAATGACAACTAATATGCGGCGTGTTTAAGAAACGGTGAAAGATCCGCGCAGACCTCCACAGCGGTTTGTTATGCTATGATTGGCTTCTCAACTTATGAAAGATTGGTTACAGCTACGTTTGCTCACCATCGTCGATGTTTCCGGCTTCCAACGTTTTCAAAAAACAAAGCGTACGCGTTCGTACGCAGCAAAATGTTAAACAGAGCGTAACTCCTCCAAACCGAGTTTCAATGTGTACGAAACTGAATTCTCGCTTCTAGATGCCTATAAGGCTATATGATTTAAACTGCAATTTTATTCGATGTGGTAATTTTTGATAAGCTTCAAACGAGGGCTGTTATAACCTTTTTCAAAACACTGGTAAAATTCTGATGCAATGTATATGTATGTAGGGTGCTATGCATGTAGGCTTTATTCTGTTTGAGTACTATCTGGTGGGCGGTCATACTTCAGTTGCTGTTTGGTCCTCCCTGCGATCATACATCAGCATAACCTTACAGATGAAAACCAAAAATCGATCGCTGTAAGATGAAGTCATAGAAAATTATTTCCCTGCAGAAGTTGCGTGGCTCCGAACTGTATGGATATTTCGTTATCCAAATTTGACCAACTCAAGATCCTTAAGTTCAGAATGTTTCATTTTGACAAAGCTCGAGGTTAGGTCAAAAATTTCATCACCGGTTGGGTCGTTTTGGGCGCCCTAGACGAGAAAATTAAGAGTAGCAGCCGGTTAATAAATTTGACACATTTACCTTAGCGACGCGCTGTCTTCAAAGCTACGTAAGGCGAATTGCTGCGATTGGTGCAGTAGCTTGTTCATATATTTCTAGCTGTCTCATCGCAGTGCTGCTTACGATAGGGTTAAAGGCAGCTACGTTTCTCCGCTGCAGCAGCTGTCTGTTAATGAATAACTGGTCGCAGAGCATTTTTGATGACAGATTGAACTGTTGCAGCAGTCTCCCTGCTTTTAGCTGGTAATGTTCACAATTTAGGGGATAATAATCCAAACAACCTCTTCAGCCAGTTACTTTAGAGTTCATGATAAGCTTTCACGATCGAAAGGGAGAAATCTCAACGTTCACCTAAAAAGCCAAGTTCATTTTACTTTAATCGTCGTCCGCTACCTGCGACGATGAGTAGAAGATGGACTTCAGGAAGTCTACCTTTCTGTCTGATCTTCCCACCGCCAGTGATGCGATATGATCCAGGCCGAGCGTCAGTAACATTCTGGTCAAGTCATGAAGCCGAACAGTGACACCCCGAACACCGCTCCCTGTTGCTTTCCATTCAATTCATGAACGAAGTTTATTTACCTCTTCATCAGCATCGTGACACTGCCTGAACGAGAAAGAAAAGTGGAATAAGTCAGATGCGACATCTTTAAGAAGTCTTCCCTCACTCCATGGCCCGAGACATAGAGTTTGCTTTTGATTGCCGTAGCGAAATGCTACCGACTACGCTCGACTGATAATGATAATGCCATTTTCTTTTTATCTTAGACGTGCAGATATTTTGTGACCTCCCTACTTTTCCGATATCGTAAGGGTGTTTTACTTGAAAATTAGTTTCACCATCAAAATTAGAGCAAACTGCTTAATTTACTGACTCTGCGCGTGTAACAATTCTCCGTAACCTGTAATCAAAGCCGTAGACGTGGAAAGCAGGACCAAAGTGCGGCATCACATTACGCATTGTTCCTGAGCCTGAATCTCGAAAATGTGGTTATGATTAAAATTTGTATACCTTTTTCTTTACGCCTTTAAAGCAAGGCTGTCTAGAAAAAGCATAGTGACTATAAGCCCAGACAGAAGGATCTGAAGCCACTTCAGTATTAATTTTCAAAGAAACCCTGGCAAATTTCCCTTGCCATCCAACATACTGTGAAGAAATGATGACGATCCACAGACTGGACTGAGAAAAGATCAACACGATGTTAAACAAACTTTCCATAAATACAGTAACATTATCCGCATGTAACTTACACGGTAAAGGTTGGGAAAACATGGCCAAATCAACTTTGCCAAATACTTGAAGTTTCACAGCATCCTTTCATAATAGACTAACAGAAGTTTCTCTGGTCAGGTTCGTGGAATTAGACTTCATGTCCATTTCGTTCTGACCGACACCGCCGGTAGGCTGAATCATCGAAAAGTAGTGACGGAGAATTGCAACCATACAAATTCGAGAGAAAAACGCCCCAGCGTACATACCTATTTACGGAACACTACTGAACATAATAGTCAGGAAGCATCAATGACACCTGTTGTCATGAAGAAAATGTAGGCAACAGGCCATACGCCGGGCAGGCTTACTTTTCTAATTTCATTACCGTAAAAAGGTTTTTAACCTACGCTCCGGATATCTGCACTTTCTTACAAAGAAGTTTCCAGTTTTACAGAGAATTTGGTGCAACTACTGAGATACAAAGCAACTGTATTAAGATGAAGATCTTGCCAAAGTAATTTTTAAGTTCAATTTATATTATTTTAAATAGAATTACTAAAAAGCTGTGAACGCGAAACCGCCAATCGTTTAAGCTGCATAGCAATCTTTCTCCCTTGTGGCAAAAAACTCTGAGATACAAAGTATCATTCTCTGAGAAGTGATACACTATCTTATAAATGTGGGATAACGGCTGAGCTTCCGGGTCCTGTATGGAGCTGTCTCATCTAACAACCACGGTCGTGCATTAACGAACATGAATAGGGCAAGATTTTGTGGGAACAAAATATTTGAAACTGTATGAAACGAAACAAACCATTTCAATTACGACTTATTTTCAACGAAGATAGCTTTTTCATGTGCCCTACCTTAACGCATTTGATAGAAGAATTCTCGGCTTTTGCAACAACGAACTTTCTCTAACTACTTTCAACGATATGCGCCATTGTTGTAGGTAGATATAAACTGCGCATAAGCACTGGACGAAAACTTGCATACTCCACTTGCACCGGCACTGTAACCGTTACGACAGCGTACCATGAAGGACAAGCGCGGTAAAACGTCGAAAGATAGCCACATTCAAACATAAAGAAAAATATGAAAACATCATTTAATGAAATACATGCTGTACAAAACGGCAAAATCGTTACATCTAGTCAGCTTTTCAAAAATACAGCGGTAACGATACCTGAAAATGAACAAGCAATTACGTGCAAACGAACCATAAACAACCAACCTAGGACGTAGGAGGCTACCAGTTTCTGTGAGAAACTAATGCACAGCCATTTTGGCCACAACTGTGACGAAACTGACGAAGATGACGACTGGTCGTAGTGCGGCGCACTAAGGCACAGGATGCAAACTGAGGCGATTACTATGACTGACCACAGAGGAATGCCTGCAAATGCAATAGGAGGACGACACATGCAGGTCGTCTTTCGCGTACATACCTGATGTTCCTTGGTGGGTGGCCTCAGTGGTCGAGCGGTCCGCAGGAACATTCTGAACCTCGTGGAAGACGGTGGTGGTGGCAGAACGGCGAAGCTCGACGGACGCGTCAGGCGGACAGCGGTCAGCGACATTGACCAACACATCGCAGTAACCAAATGAACGGGCCTTGCCACCGAGTCTCTTGATCTGCACGCGTAGTCTTTCCGGCTTTGGGGAAGCTACTCTTGGCGCCGAGGCCAGTCGTCGCACCACACTACATACAAAATACTTCAACGCGTCAGATGTCAAAAATATGATCTAATATCTAACGCAACGCTACAACTGCAGTTTGACCATGTACTAAGAAGCAACCGCTTACAGCGTACCACAGCAAGGTCGAAAACTATTTGGAAATGTGCGTTTCCTTCCAAGAATTTTCAAGGCGTTTTACCGCAGAACCTTGTGCTCTATTACGGGCGTAGCCAACACAGTCAGAAGAGCCAGTGCAAGAAGCATTACCCATATTTTATGATCACTGAGTGTTGCTCCATGTTGCATG